TGGATCACAAGTCCTATGAGAAGCAGCTTTGGGGTTGTTTAGCCTGGAGAAAAGGAGGCTCAAGGGAGACCTTATCACTCGCTACAACTGAAAGGAGGTTGTAGCAAGGTGGGAGTCAGTCTCTTCTCCCAGGCAACTAGCATCAGGATAAGAGGAAATGGCCTCAAGCTGCACCAGGGGAGGTTCAGGTTGGACATCAGGAAGAATTTCTTCACTAAATGGGTGGTTAAGCCTTGGAATGGACTGCCCAGGGAAGTGGAGTCACCGTCCCGGGAGGTATTCAAGAAACGACTGGACATGGCACTTAGTGCTGTGGTTTAGTTGAAATGGTGGTGTTCAGTTAAAGGTTGGACTCAATGATCTTGGAGGTATTTTCCAATCTAGATGATTCTAATCAGAGAGAATAAAGTTAATCAAACTTATTCTATAACAATATATTAAAAATATTCTAGACTGTGATGATTTTAATGTTTGTACAGCTGGATTTAGGTATACAAGTAGAAAACTAATTTTAATAAGATTAGAAATTCGAACAGAAAAGCAATTTATTAGGACAAGATACATGTACAGATAATGTGGAAGGCTAGATAGGAAAGCAATCAGCAAAGGGAGTGATGATTTTGAGAGCTAGTCCAATGAGAAGCTGACTAATTCTCCACAGAGCTCTCTGTTTCCATTCACCTTGGAACAGGAAGATCTCAGCTCTATGAATAAGTTAGCCACATAAATGTCTTCGTAATAAAAGCTTTTGTTTGTTGTGTGATGTGTTACAGCATTTGGAACTAACTGAAGACATAACTGAAATTGTTCTCTATCTCCTGTAGGGAATCAGATGAGCAGTCGTCTGATGAGTATGCGCAGTGCCAATGGACTGTTGATGCTACCTCCAAAGACAGAGCAGTATGTGGAGCTTCACAAGGGGGAGGTGGTGGATGTCATGGTCATTGGAAGGCTATGATGTCACCAGCAAGAGCGAAGCTTTGATGCATGTCCACATATCATTGACTGTATCCTGTAATATGCAATGGCACAGCTAGTTTTTCTGATTTGGATAAAAGTTGATCAGTATAGTCAACATCTTGAAATATATTTCAAATGGAATTTAAATAAATACCTTTTAAAAAAAACTTTAAAACAAATCTTAACAAAGAAATTTATTCTGATTATATCAAAGCAACTTTTTCCTTTCCTTGCAATTGCTTTGTGTGTTCAATGCTAGTTCTAATAGCGGTAGCTTTTAGTAGACAGCAGTAGGTGCCTGCAGAACTTGTGTTTTTTCTCATCTTTAAGATACAACTACTTATGCTCTTAAAACAAGGCTGTCTGCTTATTTATACTAGCGTAGACAACACTTGGATTTCCCTTATTAGTATGCTTCATAACCGCTTCACAGAGAGCTTCTGCTTGTTCTTTATCTTGTATCTCGTGTTGATGTGCACAGTGCCAAAAGCAGAGTGGCTGCACTGGGAACCCAATGAAGCCCCGAGGTTTTCTCACCTCGCTGTGCGTTCAGGGATCTCTCTTGTCCCAGCAGCCACCCAGCTCAGTACTCTTGGGCAGTAACTGGATACCTTTTATTTCAACAAACAAAAAAATTGCTTCCTTAAGTGCTGACAGCCTTTTTAACCAATACATTTAAAAATGTACAGAACTAAAAACTAAAAAAAATCAAAGACTGATCTTGTACAGATATTAGTGTTACCAGCATTCATGTGGAAATTAAATGAGCAAAGAAATAAAACTAATGTTACACAACTCTGTACCATAACATTTTCTGTAATGATATTGAAACTTAAATGAATAAAAAAATCCTCAATCATTATTTAAAATTTCACCTGTTCAGCCTTTTTGTTTGAAACAAAAAAGTAGTGATTTAAGAGGGTATTTGGGGTGGGGGAAGAGGACAGGAAGGAAAAGAAATAGTATGTGCAATCTGGGGCCTTACTTCATGTACATTATCACGGGTGAATTAAAACTACAGAGTGAGCTCTCTCTCACTCACCTCCCAAGGAACAAAATGGAAGCAGTGTTTGCTGGGTAGGATTTACAATCGGACTAGTCAAAGATGGAGAATACTTTCTTTTTCCCATCTAAATTGCATAGCAATTGCAAACAGCCCTTGTGCTGCACTGTGTGGAATTTGATAAAGAGTTCTTTTCCTCTTTCTTTTTTCCCCCCATGAGATACAGACTTTTCAGATCTCCCCAGATTATATTTTGGTAATTTCACGTTTCATCTGGGATTAAGACCATAGCAGTGCCCTACAACATACTTACTTCATGGAGTTCTTGGGTAAAATGCTATCCCATCATCTCCATTCATGAAGCCAGAACATTTGTCTATAGTATTTTTTGAAGACTTAGTTAAGGAGAACACAGAAAACTGGGTTTAAATCTTGACTGCCACAGTGGACCAGAGCTGTAGTTCTATTATAACTGCATCAGGGCATCCCTGAGGCTGGTTTTAAAACGAAACTCTTTGTTTGCAGTGAAACAGCCTGAATACTCCCTGCACAGGCCATTGCAAAGGTTGAAGTCAGGTGTGTTTGAAGGCAATCCAGGGACTGATTGTTCAGAAAAATAGTAAGACAGCTTGTTCATCATATTTCTTTGTTCTGGACTACATGTCCACATTTGTGATCACTCTACGTAGCAGCAGGATGATACCAAATTAAATTCATGTATGCCTGTGTTTACCATAGCAAAGTTGTAAACCACAGAAGAAGGAAGAGAGAGGAGAATTAAGTCATCTCTGAGAAATAATGCAGAAGACTGCCTATTATAATTCAAAGGATTAATATTATTATATAGTTAAGGGTTATTATAGGCAGCATATGTAATGAAAATCAGAAAATTATAAGGACACCAGTAACAACAACCTGAGGGAAGATTGTTCATGCAATTGAAGATGTTAGATAAAGATAAAAGAGAGATGTGAGGAAACCTAGCCAGAAAATTCTTAGGTTTGGTTTACATTTACAAATGTTGCTGAGAACAGTTGGCACAATGTTATGTATAAAGGGAAAAAAAAAACCCATGAAAATCATCTGTCATTTTTGCTGACACTTTACAAACATTTCTAATAGACTTTCATCCCAAATAAACTCAGAAGTATATTTCCAACCTAATATTTCTTTTGTGAGGTTATTTTGCACATTTCCCAAAATTCCAGGTAAGAAATTCCTCGCTTAAATGCATTATATCTATGATAGTTTCCTTCCTGAAGCTAAAGCCGGCTTGTGTTTCCCATGAAAAAGCTGAACTCTGGGATTACAGATTAGACATGGAAGGGCATTTATGCATGTAGTCAAAGAAAACAGAGACACTTCTAGAAGAGGACAACAAGGTGGTCAAAGTCACAGCTATTTATGAAGACAAAGGGTTTGCAGTGGGGAGAACAGTTGTAGCAGCTGGTGATCATTACAGCAACAATCTGTAGAACAAGGTATAGTTTCCCATAGCAGTATTTGGTCCATAAATCACAATGAAGTGCCTTAGCCTCAAGATGAAGAATGTGATCTCTATTAACTGTAACCCCTTCGCCTTCCTAGTGCCAGCCAGTCTCAAAAAACAAAGCACAGCATTTACACCCTTTCAGTATGATACTGTAAGCAGCTGGACTTCTATATTTACTCAGACTGAAAAAATTCACACTGCTGTTTCTTCTGTGTTTTCTTTTATGGATTTTTTTTTTGGTGTGTGTTTGGTTGTTGTTTTTTTTCAAACTTGACTGTTGTTTTCTATTAAATCTATCCCAGCCTCCACTCAGAAAGATGAGTCACCACGCCAGATTTAAACTCAGCATTGAAATGCAGACAAATCTTGGGTAATTCGTGGGGAGAAAAAGCCTGCACATTTTGCAAATGTTACACCCTCGTGAGCTGCTGCTAATTGCATGTTTTCTGAAAGGGCTTAGTGACTCATTCAGCACTAGATTAAGACTTGCTCTGTGCATTTGTGCCATATTGTACACAAGCTGGTAAAGCCCTTGCAATATAAAACCTTCAAAAGGGGGATGCACAGAGGCTCAGTAGCTCTCTGGTTGTTAGACTGGTCTGGCTCGGATGACTTGCTCCATCCCAGCACTGTTCAGCAACATCCAGACTGCTCTGTCCCTATGCAAGAACTGCATTTCCATGGACCCAGTTTAGGTTTAAAAATACAGGCAACTACTTAATTTTTGCAGAGTTAATTCACAAGCAAAACTGAAACCTTACTGTACACTAGTAACTCCACAGATAATCTAAGCATACCAAAGAAAGCAAATCTACTGTCATGATCTTGATAACCAGGGATTCAAAAGTAAAGTAAAGTAATTTCAAGAAAAGTATAAGAGAAAATGGAAGGTGTGTATATAGATAAATATATATATATATGTGCAAAATCTACCAAATGCATTTGCTTCCCTTAAAAAAAAAAAGTGATATTGCAACACTTATATATTACCAGCCACTAGCACAGGAAAATCTGTCCCACCAGACTGACAAGGAAGAATTGATTTTTGTTGGTACCTATCATTCTCACGTGTTCTACTGTGTTCCAAGATGGTCTGAAAGGATGCCATTGCCAAACAAAAATTGGAAAGATCAACAGGACAAATAACAGCACATCAAGGATGAAAAGCTTTTAAAAAACAACACAATATTACGTATCTGACAAGAGCATTTCCTAACTGTAATCGGTGACTTCATCATTTTGAAACATTGTGCTGGATGGACCACTAAGGGGGACCCAATTTTGCAATGTTGGGCAGACCAGACACTTGGCCAAGGGGAAGCCAACACAGATGTTTGCACACACACATTTCTACACTTGCAATGGCTGGTACTAACAGAAGGGGACTACTTAAGAAATTACTGAGAAGGAAACAACATAATGCTAGAAACATCCCTGCACTTTGTGGCCTGTGCACCTTTCAATTTTTTTTTTTTTGGGGGGGGGTAATTTATTTTTTTAGTTGTTTTTTTTTTTAAATTAGCCCTGTGCAAAAAAGTGGCCAATAGTTGACAATACTTCTCTCAAGAGAAGTATAAATGCATGGCAAGTAGATAATTATCCATCTTTCAAATACTACCACAGTGTTTGTGGCAAGAAATCCCACATTTTCACGGTGTGATGCAGCATCGCCTCTGCTTTATTCTGAATCTGCCACCTCCTAGTTCTGTTTGATGCCTCTCAGCTTTTGTGTTAGAGTAGATAAAGAGAAGTCACCCTCACTTTGCCACCCACAGTTTTATAGATGGCTATCATCTGAATTAAAAGTCCTAATCTATGTAGTCTGCCCTTTGTGGTTACAGTCCATATCCAAGGGTCTGTAGATTGGATGATCTCTGTTATAGAATCATAGAATCATCAAGGTTGGAAGAGACCTTTAAAATCATTAAGTTCAATCATCAACCCAGCACTATCTCTGTAACCCCTAAACCATTTACACCATATCAACCATTCTTGTTGCTCCTCTTTGCACCCTCTTCAGGTTTACTATATTCTGTCTGAAACGAGATCAGAACTGCATACATATTAAAAGGCGACTATCTCGTGTAACCACATAATGATGACTTCTGTTTGTTCTCTACTTCCTAACAATTTTTGTTCTTCAGTGCCTGTAATCAATGTGATTTTATGTATCTTAAATTACAGATAACATTAAATTCTCATGGTTTATTGGTAGTAGTCAACCTAGGAACAGTAATTATAATTACAGTTTAATAAAATATTCTCCACATATGCGTCATTTTACTTTTATCTGTGTTGAATTTCCTTAGCTGTTTTAATTCACTTCCATCCAATTTTGAATGATGTCTGCAGTTCTTGGTCCTGGTAAATAGGTATCTTCCTGTAATTTAGTTGATTTTAGTTCAATCTGGTAATGGAGACTGCATTGATTACCTCAGCTGAGGATCTGTTCTATATTGTGTGAAAAGACCTGTTTTGGTGGCTTGACAGCTATGCTGTAATATTGATACTTTACCTTATTATGCCTGATCTTTTCTTGTGATTAAATGTCAGCTGGATTGCTCACAGCTGCTGACAGCCTCTTCAGCTGTGCTCATTTTAGGATGCTGTTGCATTGCTTTGGAGAACTGCCAGATGACCAAGACCATCCTCACACATACATGGAGATGCTGCAGAGTAAAGAACTGAGCTTAATATTTTCCTATAATAATGGCCAGTCTTCACGAACGAAGATTTTGGGAAAGGTCTTTTACCTTTCCAGCCTGCGCAATGGATTTTTTAGGTGAGACACAGCATGCGCTGAACTGAGCCCACCCTTTAATCCTAAGGTTCATCTGCCGGGGCCAAGCAAGCTTGGACAATGGCAGTGAGGTCCTCAGGACGTAGGTTTGTTTAGAGTGACCTTCTCATAGATGGATGGCCTCACAGGGCTAACGGGCTCCATCTGCCCGGGGGGACTGGGATTTGAACCTGGGTTGCAGCGGTGAGAGTCCCGCATGCTAACCACTAGGCCACCAGGGGTCCCATTAGCTTTCTTATATTTGGGTGAGGCTGCTGGAACAGGCTTGTTCATGGTGAAGACTGGCAGTCAGTCTTTTGGGATGTGGCTCTGCAGAGTTCCATGGTTAGGGGCATATGCTGCACTCAAAGGATTTAGCTCACAGGAACATGTAGGTGAGTCAACTGGAGCCACTGCTGATTACAGCAGGTCAGTTGTAGTATACTCTGTTTTTCTGCAAGCACAGCCTGCCAGAACTTTTGGTTTAAAGCTAGGTAGCTATTCCTCAATAAAGTATTGAATAATGAAAATAAAAATGGCCTAAGAGCTATTTATCTGCTAGTCTTTCATGGGGGGAGAGGTACACATGCAGGTGCAATGATATTTGAGCCTATCTAAATAAAAGATAGTTAGCGGGCACTGTACATCCATGACTGACTTTCTGTAATTTACTCCCTAATGGCCAAATCCAATCAATTTGCCCAATGTGCTATGAAAAGCCAGAGAACAGAGCAGAAAATAGGATTTAATATGCTGTTGGCGATGTGTTGCTAAGGAGTCAGGCTGCAGTCTTCTCCATTAACTGGTTTTTCTATGAGGTGGTGACAAGGGTTAGATTAAAACAAAAAAAACCAACCAAACAAACAAAACCCACACCAAAAAGCCCCAAACCTCTGTTAAGAGGTAGGATAAAAAGCAGATATACAAAGGATCACAGGGGGTGGTGGGTGGGCAAACCTGAATAACACTGTCCCAGCTTTCCCCAGGCCCATCACAGAAGCCATCAGCCCATCACATGTGCACTTGTGTGTGTGTGTGTCTGAGTGAGGGGTCAGTATCAGCAACAAGAGTGGGATTGCAGTCTCAGGGGCTCATCCAGATGCCAGCAGCTGGGGAGACTGGTAACCAGAGGCCAGATACTGGACAGACTGTTTGAGCTCAGCTGCTGATGGACTACACATTGTATACATGCTTGTATTTCCCAGTAATGGATCTCCATTACTCTCCATCTTGATCAGTTAGAGGAGGATGATGCCATTGGTGCTGTCTGTGTTTGTGTGAGTGCTGTATATCCAGAGCAAGACATACGACTACAAGCTCCATTTTAAATTGGCTTGTTAACTCTCAGGCCAGGGCCCTCAGTGCCCCAATAGGCCTTAATAGGCCTCTGACCAGCATCACCTGGGATCTCCACCCCATACCCTCTACCATGGGGCTGGGAGCTACACTTTGGCCCCAGCTTGGTACCTAGTCCTTGCTGGAGAGAGGCTATAGCTGTATCTATAGTCAGCCCTGAGTCCTGTTTGGACTTTCTTAGATAAACATAACAGTTCTGTCTTCAGTCCTGCCTCCTGCTACTCCTAACTGGACTCCTGAAGCAGAGTCTCAGGATAGACTCCAGATCTGATTCTGTATCTTGTCTTGTCTGTGCCTGCCAGCAGATCCTGTTACCACCATCCTTAGCCCATTCCCTTGGAATTCTGCAGTACTGGAGGACCGTGCCTTGACTGTTCAAAACAATGACTCTGCTGAGGCCCTCCTTGGCTCCTAGCTCATCATCCCTTGTGGAGCAGACCGAATCTTGCTGTTCTCTGGCAACCTGCAACACCTGGACAACACCTGTGTAAAAACCTCTGATGTTATCATGCCCTTAACATCCTCATGTTGAAGATGAATATGAGCTACCTGTTACCACTATGCCCTGATACAACCAAGAAATGGAATTGTGAGAACATAAAGTGCGTGATGCTTTACAACATCAGCAGTGACTGGTCTGAGTTCTTCCAAACCACCCTGCCTGATAAAACTTGCTGCCTCGTGTACATGCACTCAAGCACCACTTCTCTTCACATCATCACTTACATAAATGCAACCAGGGAAACCATATCATTAAGACAGTGCCTGATGATGCTGCCAATTGTGAGTTTGTATACTGGGAGAACTCCAGTGGTCTCTGCAGAAAGGACTAGCGCACTTGTGTCCTCTTTTCTTATCCCCTGCAAAAGAAATGAGTGGACCTCAGTGAAACAAGGTATGATTGGGAAGCAGACATCTACTACATCTGTTCTTTTAAAAAGACTAGAGGTGAATTATTTCTATTCTCCTTGGCATTCCATCACTTAGGTTAATAGAAACTAGCTGTTTAATAAAGATTTATGAAATGTAATTAATTATTAGCTTTGAATGGTTTTGTTTCCCCCAGAGAGGGAATTAATTTTGTTACTTGTTCTCCAGCTTTTGTGTTAAAGTCAGCTTGATTAGCTGCTAGAGAATTCCAACTTCAGAGCGTTGCTTGAGTCCTGCCCTCTTCTTGATGCCTGGCAAAAACATATGTGATCCAAAGACAAAAGTCACCATCTAACATTGAGAATAGTCCAAGTGTTTGTACTGTTATTTGCAAAGTATGTCACTATACTATTGTAAAAAATACATTGCCTTAACTGTCAAAACTATATAAGAATACTTATGAACAAAAAGAATATACTGAAGTATAGAATAGCATATGCAAAGTATGTCTGTAGATTCACAGGCCCTTTTTCTTTAAATAAATAGTAAAAGAGGAGTTGAGAGCTGTTAGAAAGCCTTACAAAGTTCCCTTTTGCTCTTGAGATTGCATGTTCTTAAAAATGTGTGTTTTGTGGGAAGAGGTTCTGCTGTTTCATAGTATAATAAAGCCTAAGAGGAAGCATTATGCTTGTTTCTTTTAATAATCATTGGAGGGGGGATGTTTGGTTTTTTTAACATATAAGCTTTTTTATTTTTATTGCCTTTAACTTTTAAATTTATTTTTGTTTTGTGGATAGGATAGCAAGTTTGATTTGAAGAACATCTTCAGAGACTTCTTAACCAGGAGAATATTACCCTTTTTCTTTTTCTCCCTCAGCTCAACAGGGATTACTCATTCATTTATTCTTACTATTACTGTTCTCTGTTTTGTTCTCTCACTAGTATTGTTCTCTGTTTACTACACATGTATGGACATATTTCCCTTCTCTGTATAGACTTATTCTGTTCACACTTTAAAGGCAATAGTTCAGAAACCCAGCAGCAGCAGCAGTGCTGCAAATTAGAGAAGGACAAAGAGTTATGTTTTCACTCGCCCTTGTCCCTACTCTCCTGTAGCAGCAGCTAGGACTGAAAATTTTTTCAGCTAGGACAGAAAAATGTATGGTTCTGTGCTACCTCATTAAGGTTTTTAGCCATCAATGTCAACTCAACCCAGTCAAAATCAAAGCCAGTCTTTCCTGGGCAATCTCCCACCACTTGTAATTTCTAATATCCTTGCAGGGACTATCACGACCCTCCCTGTCACCTTAAGCACTGGCCAAAGAACCATGCAGGACTCTGGCAACAGTCTACACTCCTGCTATTCCACATTCACAGTGTGTCTAAAATATATGAATTCTATTTACATGAAGAATCTCAACAGTGTTTTTCATAGGGTTTCATTACCTTACTTAGTGATAATTGCAACATCCTTTGGTCTTGGCTTGATTAATTAAACCTTGCATTGTTGGTACACATGCAGAATGTTAATGAGCTATGAGTCTCCATTTTCAGGGTACTTTATGATTTATCCCTGCTTTATTTATCAGACCTAATTTACTACAAAGGAGATAGTTGCTTTAACCAATCAATCCAAGAAAATAACTCCATCACTGACTCATCTACATTAGAATAAAATTAAAAAATAGCCTTTGTTCCTTTTTTACATGCTGTCTCTCACATTTTGGAGGAGATTCTAATAGACATCCACAAATTTACTGCACTGTTCTCCCTCAAATTCCTTCTCTAGATCACATTTTTTCCTGATGCCTGTCAAAACCAAACCCTGAAAATGGTACATAACGTGATTCAATTATACTTATCAGCTTATTCTCACCTTCTTGTATTTTTTGTTTTTCTCTCTCTGTAATTTCATTTCTTACACATAAATTACCTGGGATCTTTCTCTGGTCTGTTTTAGTATAGCATCTAGCAGGATTCGGGTTCATAACCAGGTCCCATTAACATCACAGTAACGCTGACAAAGACAGTAAATCATCAGAACTGTCTCTTCTATCACCTTTACACTAAGAGAAATTTATGATAATGATACTTAAGAGGTTTCTGACCACAGCAATTAGATATCCCATGATTCTGATTACACAAGAACAAGTGATATCCAGTCCTCCTTTATTATTTTTCAAGTTCTTTCCCTTCTTTTCATTTATACATATTCCTGTCTCCTTATTCCACATTCCCCTCTCTCCTCACCAACACAGTACACAAGCTCTAGTCCACCTAGCCAAAACACCACAAAATGTATCAGTAACATATTCTCTGACAGATCATATGGCAAATGTCAGCACTGAAGGGGCTTTTTTTTTTTTTTGTTCAGGTTAATCGAAAAGGGAAATCAATTTCTATCCATAACCAACCCAACTGTGTGATCATTGGCCTCGTGCTGTCAATCCCTGTTCCCCAGTGCTCAGTGTGATGCTGATAGTACACCAGATGCCCATGTCCCCACAGGAAAGCATGACAAACTTCTGGAAACTCTCACAGCAGCCATCCCACAGGAAACATCTAGAACTTACCAGGTGAGTTAGCACTGAGAAGGGTTAAATATTTCTCTGAAGAGTAAATTAAAAATATGAATGTATTTTCCATTTCCATACAATGTTTTTCTTCTTTTAAGGTTCAGTTTATTAACAGACCTCATATTTGCACTGGCTCTTTGTCTCAGCACTAACATCATAAAGCTGGGAGAAACAAATTTCAAGTACACACCTTTTGGTCCTTCAGGCCAATGCTACCCACATGTGTATAGACAGGTAGTGGCTATGAATACTTAATAAACTTTTTTCTAAATATATCAGAAGCTAAAATCTGGTAGCAAGATTGGGAGTATAGGATTCTAAGGGAATAAGACAGTGGAATAAAGGCATTGTAGAGAAGCCAATGTCCTTTGCCTCTGTTCTGTGCACTGCTGACCAGCATTTCTTCCAGAATCAGATAGAGGCTCTCCTTGAACCTTGTGGAACTCTGTTCACAGCAGAGATAAGCATTGCCTCAAGTTAAAACTACTAAATTGCCATTCCTATTATTTAGAGCTCTGTGCCCTGCCAGAGCACCAACAATGCCTATTCCAGCTCTGGCTGAAGCTCATCTCTCTCTTGAGATCCCCAGAAAATACCAGCAATATTGAAGTCAATGCAGAATGCAATAATTTTGGCAATTGTCACAAGAAAGCTGCCAGCCCCAACAACCCATCAAGAAATGCAAGTTTTTAGCAAATAGATATAAGGAGTTCAAGTTGACGAATTAGAAAGTATCACTTGTGCTGATATCTCTCAAGTCAAAGGTTTTGCGTGCTTTGAAGGAGCTACACTTCTGTTTATCAAAATCATGGCCAGGCTTTGCGAACGAAGATAAAAAAAAAAAAAAAAAAGCTGACTTGCAAACTCCCTACAGAATTTCAGGGCAATGGGAGTGAGGATGCTAGTCACACCATAGCCCTGATAAATTTTTACAAATCAATAAATAACATATTACTTATTCCTCGGTGTTTAGTTTTCCCTCCTGGTTGGGGTTATGTTCTTAAATGGTTCTTTTTGACTGAGTTCCAAAACCCACTGGAAAAATGCAGAGAAAGAAAGACATGGCACAGACCATGCAGGGACAGACAACTAATAAGTGAAGAGGACAAAGTCATTTGATCCATTCAAAGGACACAAAGAGAAAGCTCTTGAGGTAAATGCTACACTAAGCAGTCAGACAGGCAGAAGGCTGTTTGCTGTAGCTGAGACACAAGGAGAACGGTGAGGGTCAGCAAAAATGCTTCAGGAAGTCCTGAGGAGAACAGCACACACAGATATTTCACTAAAAGTCAAAAGGGACCTCTTATCTTAAAGTCACAGTTAGAAAGGAAAATGGATGGTTAACGATGCTACTCAACATTATCTAAAGTTATTTCCCCTAAGTTCCAAGCAAGCATTTTGTCAGCACAGGCATTAATTGGTCTTTAGTTCCCACTTAAGCCAACTCAGCTCTCCTCTGAGCAGAGGCATATCCTCAGGGAGAAGAAAAAACCAAAATCACATGGTCAATGCTCAGTGCTACATGTACTTGTTTTCTGTGCACTCAGGAGCTCCCATCTTCTCCCTGGCCATGGGTAGCAGAGAGAAGGAATAACTCTGTGCACATACAGCAGAAAAAATATGAGGGAACTAGAAAAATATAATTTTGGAAGAGGACAGAACTGTGACAATTATTCTTTCAAGAAAAATCAATGATGAGGTAAAGGGACAACTGAAGAAAATGTAGAGGGAAAACTAGTACATTCAGGTTACACTTACAGAAAGTGTCAGACTCAGATTTGACTGAAAAATCAGTACAGACACATCTCTGGTTAAGAGAAAGAAGTACAGATTGTGAGAAAGTAAGTATGGTATTTATAAAATTTCTTAATTGATCTTTTCCTGCTTCAAGTATACCTACAGAGCCACCATTCTTCTATTGCCAAAGATTAGATCCTTGTACCAATTTCAGGACATAAACTGACCTGACATGAATCTCAGCTCCTGAGTGTACAGGCAATGTTACTACTGATTCCACATACTAAAGTCAAGATCCAGAACTAGAATCCAAACTAAGTATATGCTGCTGCTCTTGCTACCCATCACTGGGACATTTCTGTGTAGTTCACAGCATGTGCAGTATTTTACTGAAGTTTTGAAGTGTAAGTTCTGCACACACACAGCAAAGTATAGGAGTTGGAAGATGCAGTATGCTTTCCTACAAATGAGCACAGAAGGTATACATAATTCACAATTTCTGAGGAGACAAATGTCAATCTAAAGTTCCTTGAGAATATAAATTAACTTAATACTCTGAGGGCAGCTCACGTGTAATCAGATTCCAGTCTAAGATGCTGTAAGAAACAAGTGGTGGCAAATTCCAATTCTAGATAGCACCCTTACTGTGAACAACAATGAAATACTATTCAACATAACTGGAAATTCCAACATTATGTCCCATGGGGGAAAAAAAATCTAGACTCTGTTTACTGAAAGAGCAAAGTACAAGGTAGAAACTTTCAGGCAGTCCCTGACAAAATGGTTGTACAGCATATTTTCTGCTCCAGGAGCAGTAAGTACTTGAATGACACATGACTTGTGAAGTGCTGCTGTGCAATACAAGAACAAGTTTAAAATATTCCAAAAATACAGATCTGTAACTGTATTTTCACTGTCATCTACACACAGACTGGGTGCAGATGCTTACCAACAGTGAATTCACACTAAACTTACACACCAGAAGTGAAGGTGAAATGAAAATTGTACAATGCCGGTAAATTGATGATACAAATTTTGAATATTCTTAGATAGAGTAAAGCAGTTTGTATTAATCAGAACAATAATGTTGCCAGCACAGAGATAAAAACTGAATAATGTATGAAGATATGCTATATATACTAACTAATAAAATGGAATGCAATAAATTAAATATTTAATTAGGAATACCTCCCTCATAAGCTAAATGCCACATCTGGAGAAGCATTGCACACTACCTACAATGATACATTTAGTTTGCATTCAAACAACCTGTCTGGATGCAAACACTAAGGCCATCAAAAATAACCTCGTCCTAAGGAAAATGTTTAAATCCATCAAAATACAGGGATCAGATACCCAGGCACATTTTGAGAAGAGTGATTTTCAGATGGGAAACAACATTATTGAGATATAGTCTTCTGAATTCTCAGAGCTGAATTGCTGCTAAGTAAACGCATTTGTCCCAATTACAAGCACTTGTCACAACAGAAGATAAACTGATGACCCAGGACTGAAGAACTAACAAAATACTTCCAAAAAGATTTACCTTATGCTGTGGTAAATGAGACAAAGGTGCCCACAAAGATCAGGACATTTGTTCAGAAGTCATTGATGTGGCAAAGCAAGACTAGAATAACTACTCTTGAGCATTGTTTCTCTTGTCTGACTGGCCAGGTAGAAATCGTCCTTTGCCTGCAGAAACCAGGATTAGTCTGAGAATATACTGTGCTGC